CAACATCAATAAAAAACTGGACAGCCAACAATGGAAGCACGTGACATTGACTTCTGGCTTCCACACACATACACTATAAATATATGCACAAACACACACAAAAAGAAATTTGTGATTTAATCTTACTATGTTGCACACAATAAGCTTAAGATAGAATAAATTATTTGCTTGAAGAGACAAAATTTGATTGGAAGGTGGTATTTGTGGGACTGAACCTAGCTATGCAATCCCTTGTATGTCAGCCAAATAACATCTTAATCCTCCACTTCTTACCCAGTACTTGGAGTGATTTCATGACCATTTAGAGGCAGCATCTTATTTGTGAGCTCACAGTTCTTGAGTTTTTCATCTGCAGTGACCTTTGCTCCTAACACTTCCACCATAACCTCCATGTCATGTTGTTACCCACAATTCACACCTCTGAAACATCTCAATCCTTAAGCATAACCCTTGATTTTCTCTCACTTGCTTAGTTCCCAGTTCTCTGCTCCTTAATCACTTAGGAAATTTTATTCCCCTTCTGCTATAACAGACACTCTTTTGTAGAAAAGATGTAACACTTTCAGTCACCCACAAGGAAACTAAAAGCAGCATAGAAGACTTCTGTTTCTGCCTTTCTGTTGTTATAGATAACCTTTATGCGGTGTCACCTTTCTTCACAATTCTGTACTTTGGCATGTTCAGTAATGCAAGGAAAGCCTTTCTAAAACCTGATGGCACCTAACCTAGCTCATCCTCCTTTTAAGCTGAAGGCAAAAGTGTTAAGTGAAACTGAAGCATCTTACTGTCACCTTTTATAACATCCTTCTCTAGACTCCCTTCAAAAGTATAGAGGGGTGTCTAGAGAGTCATCTGAGTTTCTAGACATTGCCTTAAATCTGAAGCCCCCTTGGGTTCCAGGAATGGCAAAGCCACTCAGACAAATCACCCAGTAAAGGAACCATTATCTCCTGGGAACCAGATCATCCCTTCATGTGACATGGATGTCTCCAGAGCCATCTCGAGGAGCTAGAAGTGAAGTAGTGACTGCCAGCCCACAGGCTGACCAGCACTGCATAATCATGGACATCTCCCACTGATTTTCCCATTTAAACCTGAAGTTCAAGTTAATACATGGAGATGATAGGCTGAAATGCTAAGTTTCTTCTTCCCAATGTGGCCATTTTTGTTTCAATCATTTCTTATCTTTTTCACCATTGTTTTTATTTGCTTTCGCTGTGGTTAGTGGCCAGCCTGACAAGTGACTCTGAAGTCAGGCTAGATTCCAGGACTCTGGTTAGTTTCTTAGTTTTCCCTCTTCAGCTCTCATCTTCTTTCTTTCCCTGTCAGATTCAAATCCATGGCCCATCTAGTCAGCTACTCTATTTACTGCTGTCCTCAATCCCCCTTTTTTATTAGTTTTCTTTGCACTTATTGACAGAACTCCAGCTCTCAGTCTGTTTTCTTTCTCCATATTAATCTCTGAGCTGAGCAGAAGGATGGTATCATATACAAGGTTCTCACAGTGGGGGCCAGACCAACTGTCTCAGTATGACTTGGGAATGCTTATAATAGAAGTTCTTGGACTCTTCTTGGCCTATGCAGTATAAGGTTTCAGAGTGGGACATGCTGTTTTGTTTGACAAGTTTTCCAGGAAATTATTAAAGCACTACTGTAGTTTTTGTTGGTGTTTGGCTCAAATGGTATCAGTCTTGGCGCATTTTATAAATTTGTTACCTTATATGCTTTCTCTATTAGCTTTTTCAAAATTATCTGTCTCCGCAAATTGTGTTTCTGTCTATATCTTCTCACACTGCAGTGTTTAGTACCCCCGACACAGGTTGTACTTGGCCCTTATCAAAATCCAGCCACCAAATTCTTAGACATCACATAGTCACTTGCCATGAAAGAATCTTGTCTGAGTCAAGAACATGTAATTGGACGAATTTCCTCTCACTTAGGTTTCAGGGACTTTGTTTCTTTTAACAAACATCTCTTTCTTTAAATTTTCACTCAACATCATTGCAAATTTCAGCAACCCATTTGGAGATTTTTATTCTAATTCTAATAAAAAGCATTGCACAGTTTTAAACATAGGTATGGCATTATCTGATGTGGTAAATGAAGTTTTTTTTAATTTCTGTGAAGAATGGATTGCATAGGGCAGAAGATTGAAATGGATCACATAGGGGTAAAAACAGTGTTTAGTACCCCCGACACAGGTTGCACTTGGATCTTATCAAGTAGAAGACTGAAAAGGAATCTTCAGTGAAGAGTAGATTGGATCAAGGTAGTTATGTTGGATATGTAACTTGCTTTGGTCTGTGATTTGGAGGCAGAATTAGGAGGTAACAGAAATGAAAAATAATCACATCCCTTTCACTTTCGTAACTGTGTGTATGACAACAGCCCTTATAGCATGAGGAAGACAGAGAGAATAGCTGAAAAATCAAGAATATTTGTAGCCATGTTGTTTTGGATGTTCACTGGGGAGCAATGTGGTGACAGGCATCCGAGTGGTTGATGGTGCTGATGTCATTGTTACTTTTTGTCAACTTGACATAAATCTAGACATACCTGGGAAGAAAGAATCTCATTTGAAGAATTTCCTCCATAAAACTGACCTGTAAGTAAGTCTGTGAAGCCTTTTTCTGATTGCTGATTGTTGTGGGAAGGCCTACCCCACTGTGGGTTGTACCATTCCTGGGCAGGTAGGCTTGGGCTGTGTAAAAAAGGTAGCTGAGCAAGCAGGAGGGACTAAGCCAGTAGGCTGCACCCCTCCATAATCTCTGCTTAAGTTCCTACCTCCAGGTTCCTGCCTTGAGTTCCTGCCCTGGCTTCCCTCAGTTATCAATTGATTTGGGTGTTGAAAGTTGAAATAAACCCTTTCATCCCTACTTTGGTTTTGGTCAGCATTTTATCACAGAAGCAAAGAAGCAAACTAGGACATCTAACAAGCACTTAGAAATATAAAATTAGGAGCTGGAGAGACGGCTCAGCTGTTAACAGCACTGGATACTCTTGCAGAGAACTGGGTTCAGTTTCTAGTACGAACATGGCAGTGAACAACTGTCTATAACTCCAGTTCCAGGGGATCCAATGCCTTCTTCTGGTCTTTATGTCCATTGTACACAAAACTGTCATACACATAAAAATAAACAAATAATTTAAAATCCTTTACAAAAAAATCTTGTTCAATAGAAAAAAAAAAGCTCTGATACTCTATTAAGTTAATCTTGAGAAAGTGGGTAAAAATATTATATAGCCTAAGACAAAAGTCCTGACCTACACCAGGGCTACAGAGAGAGACTATCTAGCAGAAGAAACTGAGAAAGTCCAATTAGCAAACAAGGAAAATCTCAGAGAAGAAAGATGTAGCTAGTTATACACAATTTTGCTGAAAAAGAAACCCAGGGAGGTAAAGAGTGGGCAGACCTCACATTTTGAACACCTCAGCCTAAAAGTAAATTGTGTATAAACTAGGATGTTTGTTGAAAACTCATGCTTGAAATGTGTAAGGGAAGATGCTATGATATTTAAACAAAGCTAGGATATTAAAATTCAATAGAGAATACTGTTAAGTTACAATTTCATTGAAATGAGTAAGTTGTACCTTGTCAAAAACAGTGGAATTAGCTCCAGAAAAATCAGATATCTCAAAGTGGGACTATGATATTACATGGGATAATGCAAGTTATCATGTTTAAAATATACGCCTTTAATTCCAGCACTAGGGAGGCAGAGGCAGGCGGATCTCTGTGAGTTCAAGGCCAACCTGGTCTACATAGTGAGTTCCAGGACAGCTGGGGCTACAGGGAGACCCTGTCTCAAAAAGAC